CGCAAAAAAGTGCGCAGAATTATTTTTGGATTTTATTGATGTGTACCCTTCGCGTTTTGCATTTTTCAGGCCATGGCATTGTGTATGCACCCGAATGTTGTCAAGTACCACACATCATTTGTTGTTGGCGAGGAACTGTGGGTTGTGATGCGACTTCTAAACTGTGGGAGCATGCTGGACATCTTAAAACGTCGAATAAAGGTTTGTTTTGAGTTCACAAACCGGTAACTTCAAGGGCAGCATGAAGAACAAGTCTGCACGTTTTTGAAAAATTGAGTGTTTTACATACGGTTGTGGCGTGGACTAGGCTGAGAGCAACGGTGATGCTTCCACTATTGCTGGTTAGCGAAATGCCTTTTTTTTGCATTTATTGTTGAAAGAAGCGAGAGAATTTGAGATGGCGACAGGCGCTGGTGAAAGCTGTTAATGCCTCACTAAAAGAATTCTGTAGTGTGGAAGTCGAAATGAACACACTGGGGCCAGCTGCAGGCAGCGCGAGTGTATAGAAGCTGTGAAGGAAACGTGAAGAATGGGGCTTGCTGTGTGAAAAACTGTTGCTTGTAAAAAGTCAGGAAAGAAAGACTCTGAAAGCTCTTCAGCAGTGATCTTAGAATCATTGCCGAAGAGCGATCATATGAAGTAAAGCTAGAGGAAATACGAGGAGAAGTCGCTTTTGTGCAGCATTTGTGCTAGGAATCAAGACGTAAGTGACCATCAAATCGCTTACAACGTTCAGACAAGAAGTTAGAAAGCTTCTGGCGTGGCGTATTTAACACTGAGCTTATTGTCCTGAGCTACGAAAGGCGGAAAGTTATCGGCATCATGCGCACCGGTTACGAATATTAGATCGAGAGCTAAAAAGTGTCCGAGAAGAGGATTAAACCTGCTTGCTTTTTTGCTTTCTTATGGTTGAATTGATCTTTATTTGTACTTCGGGTTACTTGCAGTTGTCCATTTTAATAAATTGATTCACATCTTGCAGGTTTTTTATGTGACGTAAGTGTGGGCATATTGCAGGCGATGGGTAAAGAAACAGCTTCATCAGGTGTTCTGGATGAAGTAACCATTGCAACAGTGCTAAAGGAAGTGTTGCGAGGGTTGGAATACTTCCACAGCAGCGGCCAAATTCATCGTGATATCAAGGTTAGCCAGTCTTTGCGCTGAAATTATCATGCCTTCTGGTACTCTTATTCAGCTCATAAAGTGAATTATTTTTATAGATATCAAAAACGTTTGTAGAGTATCCTGCGGTTCGAGCCATGACGCTGTAGTACTTGTAACTATCTGAGTTCTCATACATCACTGGTTCCCGCTTCTGTGAATGTTAGGGAAGCATGCTGAATTAAGTTCCATATCCGTAGTACCGATACTGGTATTTTTAAACCGATCTCTGCAGAGGAATTTTGCTCGACAGGCGCAATCCACTTTGCGGTGACATCGCTACTGCCTTGTCACTTCCCAAGTTTTTCGGTAATAGGCTTTGAGCGACAGGCATTTCGCGTGAACAGCCTTAGATTGACTCACTGTTTTTGACTGGCACGTAATGCGCGTATATGGATCACTCAGGACAAGAAAAAACCAGACTGTGACGCACCAGGCTTGCCGGTACGATCATACGTTTTTGCGCTAAACTTGAGACAATCAGAGCGTTAACAGCATGCTATTCCTGCGTTGCAGTTTAACAACTGGACTCATGCTGGGTTTGTTGAGGCTTTTTTTTGCGTGCAGGGAGGGAGGGGCGTCGGCTGGGACGGTACCATTGCATCATAGGGCCGTGTGAAATCTTCACCTCTGACAGTCTTGATTACCTTAAGTTTTTTCGATGACCGGTCGTTCATCTGAAAATGCAAATTAGATAATGAAGAGGAATTCGAAGGAGGAGAATGATGAAGTCCGCAAAATTCACTCGCTTTTGAAGCTACGACAAAGTTATGTATTTTTCATATTCGTATGCGGGTAATTTAGTCTCCAAGCTAAGTTTAAGCCACATATGAATGTAGGATATCCATGCCTGGTACTCGAGACCGCCGTTTTTCTCTAAAAATGTCTGTGGCTTTCCCTAAATTGTGGCGCTGCTGCAGTTCGAGACTCCATCTAAAATACTATTTCCCAGATAGGAGATAAATGTTCTGGCAAAAGTACAGCTGTTTTTTTCCAGCTAGTTTTCGAATCGGCGCTGTGCCGACTGTGAACCTTGATGTGACCGTACGCATGATGCAAGCGTGCGCAGTAGTTTGGAATACTTGTCTCACACATGGACGGAGGAAATCCCTGTGCAGTTCCAGCTTCCTTCTTTTGCCGGTTCCGAAATCGCTTCACGCCATAAAACTTACGTGTTTTTTTCTGCCGTTTGTACGTAAAATCCACATGAATGCACAACGAGATAATTATAAATATTAAGGCCGGCAATATACTTATTGCTGATGATGGCACTGTTCAAATAGCCGATTTTGGTGTGTCGGGATGGTTGGCGGCAAGTCAGGGAGATTTGTCAAGACAGGTCTGTCCACTTCTGAAAAATTGTTACAGTGTATTATTGATGAAAAAAGTGCATTTTTTTTTTTTTTATTTCCTATGTCTAGAATTATTTTTTAGAAAGTTCGGCACACATTCGTTGGGACACCGTGCTGGATGGCTCCAGAAGTCATGGAGCAAGTTTCAGGATATGATTTCAAGGCCGATATTTGGAGTTTTGGTATACTAGCAATTGAGTTAGCCACTGGTACGGCACCCTATCACAAATTCCCACCAATGAAGGTTAGAAAATGCTCACTTTCCTTACGCGATGCTCTGCACTAGCAAAGCAAAGAACAGTTAGGTTGTGTTTAGTTGCCATGATGCTGCTTCACTTACTTTGCTTGCCAAGCTCGAACAGCGCTTTGATCTTTCGGCTTCTACAAATTGCAGCACAGTGCCGTGAGTGGTAAGCCCTCTATGCTTCTTGAACAGTGCCATTTGTCTGTCGTCGTTGTGGTGTTTCGATTCATTTATTACTTTGTCCAAAATGCGAAAATTGTAAAGTAACGCAGCCATTTCGGGAAAAAAATTCGCTTTTTTTGCAGCCGAGAACGATCCGTTTATTATCAAAGCCACGACACACATGTCCTGGATCATTTCCATCTATAAAGCTTTAGCTGCAGGGATTGAAAAATGCATTACCTTCGAATTTTCCCAACCTAGTAGCTAAAGATTTCTTGAAAATGCCCTAGATACGTGTGTTTTGCCTTTGCGAGGCAGTGTACATACTTTTCAGAATGATGTACTTTAAGGTTTTGATGTTAACGCTTCAAAACGATCCGCCAAATTTAGACACTAATACAGAAAGGAAAGATCAGTACAAGGCATACGGGAAAAGTTTTCGCCATGTAATCAAGGACTGCCTACAGGTGAGCGAGTTTTCGTTTTGCTTGAGGATCTGCACGGCGCAGGCGTCCTTCTGGACTTATCTGTTGCGTGCTAGATGAAAACTCACATGGTACCACACGCCTTCAGCAGTTTGCTATTTGTAGCTTAATTGTGGGGCAATATCCAAAAAACTTCTTCAGCAATAATTAACGAATTTTCGTTTAGCAGGTGAGAGAGAATTCGTGAATTGTTGCTGATGAACATATTTGGCTCTTGTCGGATTGATCTGTGCTTGGTGTTGATGCGTGCTTCAGTTATTTCTAATAATTTGCTTGTTAATACTGCCATTGATTGTTTCCATTTTTCAGAAGGAGCCGTCAAAACGACCGACAGCAAGTGAACTTCTTAAATATTCGTTCTTCAAGAAAGCCAAGGATAAGAAGTATTTGGTGCACGCACTGATAGAAAACCTTGCGTCCATGCCACTACCCTCCCATCATCAATCTGATGCGCCAAAAAAAGTAACGTTTCATAAATTCAGAAATACCACAAGTGGTTATTTCGACTTTCAGAGTGGGAGAACTTGGCCATACTGAGTTTGAATTTAATGGCGGTCATGAGGCAAATTCGGCCATTTATTTCGGCAGGCGTATATTGAGTTCCTACTTTTTAAAATTGACAAAACTTGCTGAATTTTCTTTTATTGCTAATTCTGTAAGTGTCTGTCCGTAATCATGAAAAGGGGCAGGCCCTCATTCAGGCATGCGGCGTGCTTCTACATCAGTGCAATCACCTCTGATGATACAATCGAACGTCACACATTAGCGAGTGGTACTCGTGGGAAAGTAAACGATCATTCGGACCCGGGAATGTAAATACTCATTTGGACTGCCCTTGAAAAGCTGACTTTCATATATCGAAATCGTGGGCACTAACTGAAGATGGCTCATAGGGGACAAGGCCGATTGACATGGCTGTCTTGCTGTTTCTGTTTTTTATTTCACTACCAAAGTGCCAGCTAAGGAAAAAAAGACATTTGTCGGTGTGTTCGCTAAAATAACCAATGGACTTTTTTATAGTATTTCAAATTTTTGCATCTTCGGAATTCATGGCACTTGGATAATGTACAGATAGAACTGGCTCCTTTTTTATTTGAATGATGAAGGCCAGAACATTTGTTTTTGTGATGATATTCGCTTCCTAACTGTTAAGTAGCAGGGTTGGAAAAGTGAGTGTCATCACTCAGTTTCTGAGCACTCATTGCTTGGGGCAGGGAGCGCTTAAAAATTGATCAGTGAACAGGGTGACGTTTGAGCAGTTACTGGCAGCGAAAGATTGCATTTTTCGGCGAACCTTTCGCATGTCGACTGGTTTAACTGATCAGAGGGTACTGCTTTGGTCGATTATACCAGTCGACATGCGAATTTCCCTTAAGGCAGCTGATGGGCTTGGCGCAGTGGCAAGTAATGTTGCACCTACTGCTAGCAAACGAAAGTTGGCCCTCGCCATTGGGAAAAGCATTTCCGTCTACAGTTCCTATGCGTTTTTGCATATATGCAAATGCAGAAAAGTATACCAGCAAGAAGCTGTGTGTGTTGCATGTTCGCACTTTTTGTCACCCACTTTCAACTTGAGAACCAGAAAAGTTGGAGAGCTGAAACTTCGGGAGTATGTGACTTTCCCATTTTAATGTTATAATCCGTGCACGCCTGGTTCCCACGAACAGACGCTCCAAAAAATGTGTAATTTTTTTTGGCGGGGAAGCGATTTCGGAAACTAAAAAGAATAAAAAGCTGAAACTTTAGAGGGGTATTCTTCATGCATGTGTGAGCTAAAGATTTTAAATTCAACTCCTAAATGTGAGTGTTCTCACGTACGAGCACGTGTAAGTTTTGTCGAGGAAATTGATAATTCGGCAAGCCGAAAAGCTGAAAGGTTGAAATTTTAAGGGTGTATTTCCCGTCCAGGTACATCTGAGAAGTTTCAAATTCAGCTCCCCGAGACGAGTGGTTTTTACGTATGGGTATGTGGAAACTTTGGCGGGAAAATTACTAACTCGGGAACTGGAAAAGCTAAAAAGCTGAAATTTTAGGAGGAATGTTCCCTGTCCAAGTACAACTCAAATGTTTCAAATTCAGCCTTCAGGTGCATGTGGTTCTCATGTATGGGCACTTTTTAAAATTTTTGGCGGGAAAATTACTCACTGGACAGCTAGGTCATCTTCAAAGAACGACTGTTGAGCGGAAAATGTTCATTTCCTTTGTGCGAAATTTACAATGGTTTGCGCTAGTGAGCGCAAATGGTAGGTGTAAAGCATCAACCATTCATGCAGTTAACGACCTGAATACTTCAAGTCTGGTGCAAAAACGCATGATTGCACCGGCAAGCCTGGTCCATTCCAGCCTGGGTTTCATTCCTTCCGGTGGTAAATTGGTACTAGCACATGTCTGAGAACTTCCATACAACATGAGATGACAAAGCCGTCGATAACTTGGTTTTCGCAGACGGATTTCCCTCGAAATAAGTAACTAACAGTTCGTAGTTGCTGGCACCAGTCGTTGGCCAGCTAGCGCTTTCGACTTTCTGATGTGTGGAAGATAGCACAGTAAATTTGAAACATTTGTTGTTCGTTAAAATGTAAATGTTGGTTTTATATTATTTTGGTTCTGATGACACAGATTTCAGGTGACGTCGGGTAAATTGAAGAAAAATTCGGAAGGCAATTGGGAATTCGAACTGGACAACACTGATTCAGAAGAGGAAGGGCCGGAGAAGATGGATACACCAGCAACAACTTCTGCCGATGTAGCCACTACTCCAGAAACCATCAACTTGGTACTTGCTTATTTTTCAAATTTCCCCTTGACTTCGCAGTGTGTGAGATGTCGTTTTTCGTTCTCTTCCAGCCAGTTAAGGAACCTTGTTCTGTATGCCTAAAAAATACGAAGCAGTAGAGAGTGGTACTATTTAAGGCATTGCAGTTTGATCGAAATTTTTTAATATTAACATGAGGTAAATTTGTTTTCTCTTAGAATTTTTTCAGGCGCATTGTTTCTTATTTCTTCTGTACTTCCTTACTTTTCGTGAGTGACTGCATAAAAAATATTCAGGTGCTGCGTGTGAGGAACACGCAAAAAGAGCTGAATGATATCAAATTTGATTATACGCCATCGGTGGATACCGTTGAAGGAATAGCACATGAGCTGGTTGCCGCTGAGCTCATCGATGGCCACGATTTGGTAGTTGTTGCAGCTAATTTGAAGAAGCTTGTTGACGCGGCGCAGATGAAAAGCGACAAAAAGTCGGTGACATTTGCGCTGAGTTCAGTGCCACCTCAAGAAATTCCTGACGAGCGTTCATTAATAGGTTTCGCCCAAATATCGCTCATTGAATGAAATTATTCCAAGTTTCTCTCCAATCCATGATTGCGACTGGCAGTTACATTTAGTGCTTTATGTATTTTGCGGTTCACTTTGCGCATTCGGAACCAACACTGTGACGTGTAACCAATTTATTTTTCCGTGTAAGAAGAATTGTTTCGATCGAGGTTTCTGAAGCGATATAATTATCAATTTGGATTAGCCTTAGAAAAAGTATACACCAGTTCTTTCTTTATTTTGCTTTCGTGTGGATTGTGAGAATTTGCGCAGTGCTTTTTTTTTGTTTTGTAAAACAAAAAAGAATTATCAGCCCGCTGGCGCGGGCACTTTCTTTTCTGGAATCATCTTTTTGTCACTGAATGATGGGCACACATTCATTCTGGGTACCCTACAGAATGTCTTTCCGCTGAAGCGCACACCCCTGATCCCTCCTTTTTTTGTAATAGCATTGTGGAATTTAAGCCATTTCAGCCAATGTACTTTTATCGTAATGATCAAGTTCTTTTAGATCATACTTTCATTCTGCTTGGGATGTGGGGACGCAGCCTGTAAAATTAACTCGTGTACAGGTGACGGACTCGCCCCATGCAGGTTCGGAAAAGGCAGCCGTCGTCGTTGGATTGAGTTTTGCAAATTGCAGTACTCTGTAACCACTGCGGATCATTAAGACGAGCTTACTCTTATGTCCTGGCTTAAGCGGGCAGTTCTCACGGCACACACACACACTGGAATATGCGCAACTTCAGTATTATTAAACCGTATGCTCAGCTCAATATTTCTGTCAGCGTTCCTTGCCCTCTAACATGTCTTGAAGTGGTCAGTTCTTTATGCCGCCATCGGAGACACTTGGATTGTTGCTGGAAGTGGACAACATTGGGAGCGAAAGCAGAATATTCTTCTAAAAGAAGATGTCTTGACTAACTGTGTTCATTTCTCTAGTGGCTGCTTAAAGTGCTGGCCGCATCATTACTTATCGTTATATCTGTAATGAATGGATTATCGCAGTGTTAATTGTTATTCAGATTAAGGCCATCGGCAGATGAACAAATTTCTGGATATATTCGTAATCATTTATGCGAGCTAACACATACTAGCAGTAATTTTCCTACGAAAAAATGCTTTTTATAATTCCATTTATTATCCTACTGGTATCCAACACAGAACGTCCCAAAATTGGGATCTCGGAGCTGAAATGAACGATTGGAAAACTCCTACCCTCCCTCTCCCTTCCCTTCCTCGCCCTTCGGGTTCACAACTACACGTAGAATTAAACCCAGACTGGAACGCATCAGGCGAGCCGGTGCGATTATGCATTTTTGCATCTTTCGTGTCGTAACAAGATCACAAGCAATCACAGTAGCTAACCCTGTGACATATTGGCTCTCTAGGTCCGGTAAGTTAAATGTGCAACTGTGTGGTATGTCAGTTGTAGATGTCGACTTCAGTGACCCGACAAATGGAAAGTTGCTGGCCCGCGAAAAAGGTCGCACTAGGAGAGTTAAATTTGAAATCTTTTAATCGCACATGAGTAGGGGATCTCCTCTTGAAATTAAAGCCCTCAGCTTTTCCCGTCCCCGAGTTAGCAGTTTTCCCATCGAAATTTATTCGTGTCCGTATGTGAGTACTGGACGGTTTAAAAGAGATGAATATAAAATCCTTTGTAGGGAACATTACCCTAAAGTTTCCGCATTAGGGGACATTACCCTAAAGTTTCAGCTTCCTACCTTTTTTCGTC